CCCCTTTGGGCTCGGGAATTTGGGTTGTGTTCCCCTTTGGGCTCGGGAATTTGGGTTGTGTTCCCCTTTGGGCTCGGGAATTTGGGTTTTGTTCCTCTTTGGGCTCGGGAATTTGGGTTTTGTTCCTCTTTGGGCTCGGGAATTTGGGTTGTGTTCCTCTTTGGGCTCGGGAATTTGGGTTTTGTTCCTCTTTGGGCTCGGGAATTTGGGTTGTGTTCCTCTTTGGGCTCGGGAATTTGGGTTGTGTTCCTCTTTGGGCTCGGGAATTTGGGTTGTGTTCCACTTTGGGCTTGGGAATTTGGGTTGTGTTCCTCTTTGGGCTCGGGAATTTGGGTTGTGTTCCTCTTTGGCCTCGGGAATTTGGGTTGTGTTCCCCTTTGGGCTCGGGAATTTGGGTTGTGTTCCTCTTTGGGCTCGGGAATTTGGGTTGTGTTCCACTTTGGGCTCAGGAATTTGGGTTGTGTTCCTCTTTGGGCTCAGGAATTTGGGGTGATGTTCCTCCAGGGGTCTTGGGTGGCGTGCTCCGGGGTGGGGGGGTTTAGTGTTAGCATACTCACTCTTTGTTGATTTGAGATTTTATTAATTTGGGGTTTTTTTGGGTGGTGTACTGGTGGGTGTGGTGAGATTGGTGTTGGTTAATTATTAGCATACTCACTGTTTGCTGATTTGGGATTTTATTAATTTGGGATTTTTTAGCTGGCGTATTAGCAAGTCTGCTGGGTTTAGTGTTGGTTAGATACTGGCGTACTCACTCTTTGTTGATTCAAGATTTTATTAATTTTGGGGTTTTTTTGGGGGTGTACTGGTGAGTGCAGTGCGTTTAGTGTTGGCCAATTACTGGTGTACTCAGTCTTTGTTGATTTGGGATTTTATTAATTTTGGGATTTTTTTGGGTGGCGTGCTGGGGAGTGTGGTGGATTTAGTGTTAACATACTCAGTCTTTGTTGATTTGAGATTTTATTAATTTTGGGATTTTTTTAGGTGGCATATTAGCAAGTCTGCTGGGTTTAGTGTTGGTTAGATACTCGCGTACTCACTCTTTGTTGATTTGAGATTTTATTCATTTTGGGATTTTTTTGGGTGGTGTACTGGTGAGTGCTGGGTTTAGTGTTGGCCAATTACTGGTGTACTCACTCTTTGGTGATTTGATATTTTATTAATTTTGGGATTCTTAGGTGGCATATTAATGAGCATGATGGGTTTAGTGTTGGCTAATTATTCATATACTTACTCTTTGTTGATTTGAGATTTTATTAATTTTGGGAGTTTTGGGTGGCATATTAGTGAGGGTATGGATTTAGTGTTGGCTAATTACTGGCCTACTCAGTCTATTGATTTGAGATTTTATTAATTAGAGATTTTTTTGGGTGGTGCACTGGTGGGTGCGGTGAGTTTAGTGTTGGTTAATTATTAGCATACTCAGTCTATTGATTTGAGATTTTATTAATTTGGGTTTTTTTAGGTGGCATACTAGTGAGTCTGCTGGGTTTAGTGTTGGTTAATTATTAGCGTACTCACTCTGTTGATTTGGGATTTTATTAATTTGGGGATTTTGGGGTGGCATATTAGTGAGCATGATGGGTTTAGTGTTGGCTAATTACTGGTGTACTCACTCTTTGTTGATTTGAGTTTTTATTAATTTGGGGATTTTTTTTGGGGTGGTGTGCTAATAAGTGTGGTGGATTTTAGAGTTGGTTAGTTACTGGTGTACTCACTCTTTGTTGATTTGGGATTTTATTAATTTGGGGATTTTTGGGTGGCATATTAGTGAGCATGATGGGTTTAGTGTTGGCTAATTACTGGTGCACTCACTCATTGTTGATTTGAGTTTTTATTAATTTGGGGATTTTTTTTGGGGTGGTGTGCTAATAAGTGTGATGGATTTTAGTGTTGGTTAGTTACTGGTGTACCCCCTCTTTGTTGATGTGAGATTTCATTAATTTGGGTATTTTATTTTGGCACTGGGACATCTCCTGGGGTGTCCCATGTCCTGTGCCATCTGACCCCCTCCCCGTGCCCCCTTTGTGCCGGGGGTCCCCATGGGCTCGGTGGGCGCTGGGGGGTGAGGTGCCCACGCTGGGGCTGCTGCTCGGGGTGTGCCCGGTGTCCCCCAGCCCCGTGACCCCCCCAACCCACCCCGTGCCCCCCAGGTGCTGCTGCAGGTGCTCATCATCCTGACGGGCAACTACAACTTCTTCAACGCGCTGACCATCGTGCTGGCCTCCTCCCTGCTGGACGAGCAGCACGTGGGGCGCTGGCTGGGCCGGCCCCGCAAGAGGCAGGGCGCCGGTGAGACCCCCGAGCCCACCGGGGCCTGGGGGGACAGGGGACCCCGGTGGTGGCACCGGGGGGCTGCCACGCGGGGGTCCCCAGGGACGTGGGGCACAGCTGGGAAATCAGGGAATGGTTGGGGTGGGAAGGGGCTGTGAATCCCAGCCCGGTCCAGCCCCCGCCGTGCCCGAGGCCATCCAGCCCGGCCTGGAGCTGCAGAGGGGCTGGGGACAAGGATGGAGGGACAGAGGGACAGGACACAGGGAATGGCTCCCACTGCCAGAGGGACGGATGGGAGATTGGGAATGAGGAATTGCCAGAGCAGCTGGGGCTGCCCCTGGATCCCTGGAATGTCCCAGGAAGGACTGGAGCACCCTGAGTGTCCCTGGAATGAGCTTTGAGGTCCCTTCCCACCCAAACTGGTCCAGGATTCTGGGATTTGGGACACTCAGGGGATAGAAAAGAAAGGAAAAGGGAAGGGAGACCCTTCATGGCTTCCTGAGATTCCAAGTGAAGCCTCTGGGTCCATGAATTTCTTGGAGAGGAGATGGATCCAGTGTCAGGCTGGGAGAGCTGGGAGTGTTCTCCTGGAGAAGGGAAGGATCCAGGGAGAGCTTCCAGCACATTCCAGGAGCTCCAGGAGAGCTGCAGAGGGACTGGGGACAAGGATGGAGGGACAGGACACAGGGAATGTCACCCCGCAAGGGGCTCCCACCCTTGGGAATTCTGGCATTGCTGTCACCCCACAAGGAGCTCCCACCCTTGGGAATTCTGGCATTGCTGTCACCCCACAAGGAGCTCCACCCTTGGGAATTCTGGCATTGCTGTCACCCCACAAGGAGCTCCACCCTTGGGAATTCTGGCATTGCTGTCACCCCACAAGGGGCTCCCACCCTTGGGAATTCTGGCATTGCTGTCACCCCACAAGGGGCTCCCACATTTTGGAATTCTGGCATTGCTGTCACCCCACAAGGGGCTCCCACATTTTGGAATTCTGGCACTGCTGTCACCCCACAAGGAGCTCCACCCTTGGGAATTCTGTGTCCCAGTGAGGTCCTGCTGCTCTGGGCCTCTCCCTCCTCACTCCCTTTCCCTGCAGCGCTGGGAGCACTGGGACCCCCAGCACCCCTGCTTTTGGGGGTCCTTTCCAGGCTGGGCAGGGGACAGGCGGGTGACACCGCAGGCAGGGCCCCGTGCCCGTGGGTGACCCCAGGGCCGTGAGGGGGTCCCGGGCAGGCTCTGAGCTCTCCGTGCCACAGGCTGGCCCCCCAGGCCGGGCTGGGTGCTGGGCACGCTGCTGGAGCTCAGCACCTACGGGCTGCTGCTCTGCTGGACCGTGCGCTGCTTCGGCCTGGAGCTCGACTGGCACAGGAGGGTGCTGGAGTCCAGAGTGGGTACGTGGCGGGGGCACGGCCCCTGCGCCCTCCCCGCGGGCACCGGGGCCGTGCCTGAGCGGGGCCGTGCCTCCCTGCAGCCTTCACCTACCACGAGTTCACCACCTGGCTGCGGACGGTGACGCTGCCGCTGGTGGGGGTGGCCTTCCTGTCCCTGTCCTGGGAGATCCTGGTGGCCCTGTACCGGTGGGTCTGGGGGACGTCGGGGTGCCCCTGGGGGTATGGGGGACATCAGGGTGTCCCCAGGGGTGTGGGGGACACCGGGGTAACCCCAGGGGTGTGGGGGACACTGAGATGAACCCAGGGGTGTGGGGGACATCAGGGTGCCCCTGGGGGTATAGGGGACACTGGGGTGCCCCTGGGGCCATGGGGGACATCGGGGTGCCCCCAGGGCCATGGGAAACACTGGGGTGCCCCTGGGGGCGTGGGGGACACCGGGGTGCCCCTGGGGGTATAGGGGACACTGGGGTGCCCCTGGGGGCGTGGGGGACACTGGGGTGCCTCTGGGGGTATAGGGGACATCAGGGTGCCCCCAGGGCTTTGGGGGACATTGAGGTGACCCCAGGGCTGTGGGGGACACTGAATGACCCCATGGGTGTGGGGGACATTGAGGTGACCCCAGGGGTGTGGAGGACACTGGGGTGCCCCTGGGGGTATAGGGGACACTGGGGTGCCCCTGGGGTGTGGGGGACATTGGGGTCATGGGGGACACTGGGGTGCCCCCAGGGCTTTAGGGGACATTGAGGTGACCCCAGGGGTGTGGAGGACACTGGGGTGCCTCTGGGGTTGTAGAGGACACTGAGGTGATCCCTGGGAGCTGCGAAGGGGTGACCCCACTCCGGGATTTGAGCAGTCAGACCCAGCATGCAGGGGCTTAACCCCCCAAACCAGGGGGGCTGAGCCTCTTCACCCCCATAACGCCCCGGTTGTGCCCCCCCAGCTGTTTCTGCGTCCGGGGATGCTTCTGGAAGCTCTGGGCCACCCTGCAGTGGGCCATCATGGCCACGGCCACCGTGGGCCTGTTCGCTGTTAGCCTGGTGAGGCCTGGGGGCCGCGGGGGACCCCCCAAACCCCGCCGGGCCATGACGGAGCCCCCCTGCCCCCCCAGGTGCCCTTCACGTCCATCGAGCACGAGTCCAGCACGAAGCTGTGGCCCGGCGTCCAGCGGCTCTTCGGGGCCGTGGAGCGCTTCCAGCTGGTCAACTCCTACGGGCTCTTCCGCAGGATGACCGGCGTGGGCGGCCGGCCCGAGGTCATCCTGGAGGGCAGCTACGACGGGCACAGCTGGACGGTGAGCCTGGGACGGGCACTGAGGGATGGGCACAGCTGGGCGGTGGGTCTGGGACGGGCACAGCTGGGCGGTGGGTCTGGGACGGGCACTGAGGGATGGGCACAGCTGGGCGGTGGGTCTGGGACGGGCACAGCTGGATGGTGAGTCTGGGATGGGCACTGAGGGATGGGCACAGCTGGGCGGTGAGTCTGGGCTGGGCACAGCTGGACGGTGAGCCTGGGACGGGCACTGAGGGATGGGCACAGCTGGGCGGTGGGTCTGGGACGGGCACAGCTGGACGGTGAGCCTGGGACGGGCACTGAGGGATGGGCACAGCTGGGCGGTGGGTCTGGGACGGGCACAGCTGGATGGTGAGCCTGGGACGGGCACTGAGGGATGGGCACAGCTGGATGGTGAGTCTGGGATGGGCACTGAGGGATGGGCACAGCTGGACGGTGGGTCTGGGACGGACACAGCTGGACAGTGGGTCACCCCAGGACAGCACTCCAAGCTGTGCCAGGCCTGCAGAGCCCTTTCCAGAGGAGCTTTCCCAGTATCCCCCCAAACCCTCCCTGCTGCAGCTCGAGGCCCTTTCCTCTCGCCCTGTCCCTCACTGGG